CTGAGTGCAGAGTGTGGTGTGTAGAGGACCTGTCCCTATACACTGTACAGCAGAGTGCCATGTTTGCCGCTGAGCAGCATTACACTGATCTTCCCTTTTATTTGCTGTGTAGAGGAGTAACATCAGCAGGAGGCATGGGAACAGCAGTACACTGATCATTCTAGAAATTAGCTGTGCAGGGGGGTGTCAGCAGGAGGCATAGGAACAGCATTACACTGATCGTTCCTTTTATTAGCTGTGCAGAGGAGCAACATCAGCAGGAGGCCTAGGAACAGCAGTACACTTATCTTAATGTTGTTAGCTGATCTTCCTAATGATTAGCTGTGCAAAGGACATGTCAATACACTGATCTTTCTAGTAATTAGCTGTACAGGGGGCATGTCAGCAGGAGGCATAGGAACAGTAGTACACTGATCTTCCCTTTTATTAGTTGTGCAGAGGGGCAACATCAACAGGAGGCATAGGAACAGCAGTGCGCTGATCTTCCCAGTGATTAGCTGTGCAGGGGGCATGTCAGCAGGAGGCATAGGAACAGTAGTACACTGATCTTCCCAGTGATTAGCTGTGCAGGGGACATGTCAGCAGGAGGCATAGGAACAGTAGTACACTGATCCTCCCAGTGATTAGGTGTACAGGGGGACATGTTTGCAGGAATCATGGGGGGGGGGGTGTCAGCAGTAGGCACTGGCACAGCAGTACACTGGTCCTCTCTTCCTAGTGATTAACTGTGCAAGGGGTTGTATCCGCACAAGTCTGACCAATGGTGTACAGGCAGACTGTGCTCTCAAGTAGAATAAGCAAGCTGGGCACCCTGGGGTGGATGTGCTTCCATCCCTGAAGCGGTCAACTATTTAATGAAAGTCCCTATGAAAGCAGAGGGACTGTCAGGATCAGCAGGAATGTGACATAAAGGAAGCCATGAACAGAGAACAGGATACTTTTTATTAAACAAAAAACAGGGTAACACAGACACACATCAGGAATGGGAAACATGGATGTAACATACATCGTAAGACTCAGGCCTCACGCCGTACACATGACAACAGACATTACTTACAACTGTTGCTGAATGGCATCCCATCATAACTTGCCATGGCGCGGTGCCAGAAACCGTGCGGGCGCTTTGTCATCTGATTCATTTTGAATCGGCTACCTAAAGAAACCAACTTGTAAAAAACCACATTAACATAACACACTCCAAAAACAAAGTGTGATCCCCGGCTAACAGAGGCTCCACCCCCTCCCAGCTCCACCCAAAATAAATAGAACATTTGGGCTGGAGTTGGGTAACTGGTTAATTTTGACTTGCGTATGAAAAGGTAATCCGATACAAACGTCTCTGGATCCCTGAGCAACTAATCCAGTCCTTCTTTTCATTGAACCTTTGGACTGTAGGAAGAGGACTGTTGAGTAACATGAGAGACTTTACCAGCGCTCACTGCTGCCGGTGCACTCGAGGACCTCGTGGGTTGCATGTAGATCGTTGCTGGGCAGCAGGTAGAGCGCTAGTGGGCTGCAGGTAGCATGCTTGCGGGCTACTTGTAGAGTGCTGTGGGACCCCACATAGATTGTTGGTGGGCCGCGGGTGGCGTGCTGGCGGGCCACTCCTAGATTGTTGGTGGGCCGCATGTAGATCGCTGGTGGGTCGCAGGTTGAGTGCTGGTGGGAGGAAGGTAGAGAGCGATGTTGGGCCCGCAGACAGGGCATTGGTTGTCCAAAAGTAGCCTGCTGGTGGGCCACAGGGAGAGTGCTGATGGGCTGCATGCGGAGTGCTGGTAGGCCCTAGGTTGCGTGCTGGTGGGCCACAGGTGGACTGCTGGTGGGCAATGAGTGGAGTGCTGGTGGATGTTAGGTAGAGTGCTGGTGGACACCAGGTAGATCGTTGGTTGGCAGCAGTTGGAGTACTGGTGGGCCACAGGTAGAATGCTGGTGGGTGGCAAGTAGAGTGCTGGTGGATGGTAGGTAGAGTATTGGTGGACACCAGGTAGATTGCTGGTAGGTGGCAGGTTGAGCGCTGGTTGGCAGCATGTAGATTGTGGGTGGGCTGCAGGTAGAGCGCCGGTGGGTGAAAGGTAAAGCGCTGGTGGACTGCATGTAGATCACTTGTGGGTGGCACTTGGGACTCTGGTGGGCAGCAGGTAGACTGCTGGTGAGTGTCAGGTAAAGCTCCAGTGGGCTGCAGGTAGAGCGCCGGTGGGTGGAAGGTAAAGCGCTGGTGAACTGCATGTAGATCACTTGTGGGTGGCACTTGGGACTGTGGTGGGCAGCAGGTAGACTGCTGGTGGGCATCAGGTAAAGCTCCGGTGGGCTGCAGGTAGAGCGCTGGTGGGTGGAAGGTAGAGAGCTGGTGGACTGCATGTAGATCATTTGTGGGAGGCACTTGGGACTCTGTTGGGCAGCAGGTAGACTGCTGATGGGTGTCAGGTGAAGTTCCGGTGGGCTGCAGGTAGAGCACTGGTGGATGGAAGACAGAGAGCTGATGGACTGCATGTAGATCACTTGTGGGTGGCACTTGGGACTCTGGTGGGCAGAAGGTAGAGTGCTGGTGGGCATCAGGTAAAGCTCCGGTGGGCTGCAGGTAGTGCGCTGGTGGGTCCCAAGTTGAGCGCTGGTGGACAGCAGGTGGAGAGCTGGTAGGCTGCCTGTATAGTGCTGGTGGGGTGTTGGCAGAGCGCTGGTGGACAGCAGGTGGAGCGTTGGCAGGCCACCTGTGTAGTGCTGGTGGGCTGTAGGCAGAGCGCCGGTGGCCAGCAGGTGGAACGCTGGAAGACCTACTGTACAGTGCTGGTGGGCTGTAGGCAGAGAGCCGGTGGCCAGCAGGTGGAGTGCTGTTGGGCCGCATGTAGAGCACTGGTGAGCTGCCCATAGAGCGCTGGTGGGCCACCTGTAGAGTGCTGGTGGGCTGGAGGTAGAACGCTGGTGATCAGGTGGGCTGCTTGTAGAGTGCTGGGGGGCTGTATCTAGAGCACTGGTGGACAGCAGGTGGAGTGCTGATGGACACATGTAGATTTCTGGTGAGCCTTATCCACACCTCCCAATTCTGAAATGATAAGAAGGACCCCTATCAGCACACAGTGTGTATGTCACAATCCTGGTGACACCAACAACACAGATCTAACATACAGAAAGTGATTGGCTGAACCACACAAGGGATTCTATGACCTCTATTTTTCCTTTATATTGGCTTATTACAGTGGTCTCCAAACTTCAGCCCTTTGCTTGCCCTATTCCTGTCACTGACACCAACAATGGGGCACAATTGCGGCCCTTAGCCTTCTCTTCTCAGGTCCCCATCAGGACCCCTCCCTCCTGCCAAGCCCCTGCACAGCAAGCACCTTGCTATGGGGGCACTTGAGAAGGCTCTCTCCCGAGCTGCTTCCCTGCGTGTCCATTTACAGACAGAGCCATGGCTCAGCCCTGCCCCCTCTCTCTCCTCATTGGCTTACTGGCTGTGAGTGGATACCACTTCCGTCTTAGCCAATGAGGAAGAAGAGTCCCCGGAGAACTGAGGCTCTGATGCACATTGCTGGATCGCGATCAAATGAAATCTGCCATAAATAATCATAATAAAAAAAACTGTCATAAAAGTCAACAATAATAATTGAATCAGATAAGTATGAATGGAACCAAACGCGTCAGATTTGATAAAAGCAAAAGAAGATCCATATCAGGCTGAACATGGGGGGGTGGTCAGCATTAACTATTATCCCCTGCTAACTTGCCGACCTCCTCCACTCTTCCTACCACTCCATCCCCCACAGCTATCTCCTCCTGTGCCACCATCCCCTCCCTCCTAGATTGTAAGCTTGAAAGAGCAGGGCCCTCGATACCCTCATGTTTTGCATTGTATTGGTATTGTTCTGTCCCCCTTTATAATGTACAGCGCTGAGCGAACTATTGGCGCTTTATAAATACTGTATAATAATAATAATAATAATAATAATAATCGATAAAACAGCTTATGTCCACCTCTACGTTAAGGCCGTTAGGGTGCAAAGTGCAAAGTACATGTATCCACTTTGTAATAATAATATATACTATAATAAATTGTAAAATAATAATATATACTATAATTAATTGTAAAATAATATATAGTAAATTGTAAAATAATAATATATAATAAATTGTAAAATAATAATATATAATAAATTGTAAAATAATAATATATACTATAATTGTAAAATAATATATAATAAATTGTAAAATAATATATACTATGATAAATTGTAAAATAATAATATATTCTATAATAAATTAATTGTAAAATAATATATAGAAAATTGTAAAATAATAATATATATTAAATTGTAAAATAATAATATATTCTATAATAAATTGTAAAATAATAATATAGTCTATAATAAATTGTAAAATAATAATATATAATAAATTGTAAAATAATAATATATACTATAATAAATTGTAAAATAATAATATATAATAATAAATGACATCAGATAACATATACTACAAGAACGTGTAATATAATGTTCTATAATGTAATCAATGATAATCCTATATAAAATATGAATACAATAATAGTTGATACAATAAAGGGAATAAATAATGGAGAGAGGAGGGTGGGAATCGCCTGGCAGTATACAGAGCCCTGTGCATAGAGCCGTACACACCATGGACAAGCAGATTGGGGGTCAGTAGGGCACAAGGTGGGATGAGGTAGACTCTCGGCACACGTGACTCCCCGTCGGGATTACACGGCAACCAATCAGCGTTCACGTTGTAACTTTTCCTTAGAGAACAAAACAAAAAAAAACAGTTCTATCCGCACAGTTTCAGCATTTCTTCCCCCGTACATCGCCCCCGGAGGGTTCCCCTTTACGTTATAGAAAATAAAATAAATAATTGTAGTCACCGTGCGCGGGGGATGCCGGGAGTTGTAGTTCCGGGTTCTCTTAAAGAGCGGCCCTACAGGCTATTGGCCGCAATGGTCACGTGTTCACTGGGCTCGCGTGACGTCACCGGGATTTGAATCTAGCGCCATGTCGTACAGGTCTCCGCTCGTCCTTTCCGAATCCGCCCCGGGGAGCCCAAACTACCGGAGGAATGGCGCGGCTCTATCTGATGGACACCCGGATCAGGACCTTCAGCAACTGGCCGTTCACCGAGGGCTGCGCCTGTACCCCGGAGAGGGTGAGAGAGAAGGGGGGAGCAATGCCATCCGTGTCGACCATTACAGGAATTTCCTTTTACTTCCGGTCATATGGGCAAAACAGGAAGTGAGGGAATCCCAGAACAGGTGTCCCTATTGGAAGATTTCCCTTCTATTTCTGTCTGAGGGGCAACCCCTAATGTGGAGCAATAGAAGTCTCTGTACCGGGGGAGGGTTGGTGTCCAAATGGGGGGGTGCAATGGAGGTCCCTGTAGTGGGGGTGGGGCAATGAAGGTCCCTACACTGGTGGGGGATGGGGGTTGTCCAGTGGAAGTCCCTATACAGGGGAGGGGATCCAGTTGAGTTCCTTATACTGGGGGGTCCAAATGCAGTCCCTATATTGGGGGTCCAATAGATGTCCCCATAATGGGGGGGGGGTCCAAATGCAGTCCTTATACTTGGAGAATTGTCCAATAGATGTCCCTATACTGGGGAATGGGGGAGCGGTGTCCAATGGAAGACCCTATACTGGGGAATGGGGGAGCGGTGTCCAATGGAAGACCCTATACTGGAGAATGGGGGGGGGGGATGTCCAATGGAAGACCCTATACTGGAGAATGGGGGGGGGAGGATGTCCAATGGAAGACCCTATACTGGAGAATGGGGGGGGAGGGATGTCCAATGGAAGACCCTATACTGGAGAATGGGGGGGGAGGATGTCCAATGGAAGACCCTATACTGGAGAATGGGGGGGGGGGGATGTCCAATGGAAGACCCTATACTGGAGAATGGGGATGGGGGGGATGTCCAATGGAAGACCCTATACTGGAGAATGGGGATGGGGGGGATGTCCAATGGAAGACCCTATACTGGAGAATGGGGATGGGGGGGATGTCCAATGGAAGACCCTATACTGGAGAATGGGGATGGGGGGGATGTCCAATGGAAGACCCTATACTGGAGAATGGGGATGGGGGGGATGTCCAATGGAAGACCCTATACTGGAGAATGGGGATGGGGGGGATGTCCAATGGAAGACCCTATACTGGAGAATGGGGATGGGGGGGATGTCCAATGGAAGACCCTATACTGGAGAATGGGGATGGGGGGGATGTCCAATGGAAGACCCTATACTGGAGAATGGGGATGGGGGGGATGTCCAATGGAAGACCCTATACTGGAGAATGGGGGGGGAGGATGTCCAATGGAAGACCCTATACTGGAGAATGGGGGGGTGGGGGATGTCCAATGGAAGACCCTATACTGGAGAATGGGGGGGGGGGGGATGTCCAATGGAAGACCCTATACTGGAGAATGGGGGGGGGGGGGGGAGGATGGCCAATGGAAGACCCTATACTGGAGAATGAGGATGGGGGGGGGGATGTCCAATGGAAGACCCTATACTGGAGAATGGGGATGGGGGGGGTGTCCAATGGAAGACCCTATGCTGGAGAATGGGGGGGGAGGATGTCCAATGGAAGACCCTATACTGGAGAATGGGGGGGGGGGGGGGGGATGTCCAATGGAAGACCCTATACTGGAGAATGGGGGGGTGGGGGATGTCCAATGGAAGACCCTATACTGGAGAATGGGGATGGGGGGGATGTCCAATGGAAGACCCTATACTGGAGAATGGGGATGGGGGGGATGTCCAATGGAAGACCCTATACTGGAGGATGGGGGGGGGGGGGGGAGATGTCCAATGGATGTCCAATGGAAGACCCTATACTGGAGAATGGGGGGGGGGGGGATGTCCAATGGAAGACCCTATACTGGAGAATGAGGATGGGGGGAAGGATGTCCAATGGAAGACCCTATACTGGAGAATGAGGATGGGGGGGAAGGATGTCCAATGGAAGACCCTATACTGGAGAATGAGGATGGGGGGGGGGGGGGGGAGGATGGATCCAATGGAAGACCCTATACTGGATAATGGGGGGGGGGGGGGGGGGGGGGGGATGTCCAATGGAAGACCCTATACTGGAGAATGGGGGGAGGATGTCCAATGGAAGACCCTATACTGGAGAATGGGGGGAGGATGTCCAATGGAAGACCCTATACTGGAGAATGGGGGGGAGGATGTCCAATGGAAGACCCTATACTGGAGAATGGGGGGGAGGATGTCCAATGGAAGACCCTATACTGGAGAATGGGGGGGGAGGATGTCCAATGGAAGACCCTATACTGGAGAATGGGGGGGAGGATGTCCAATGGAAGACCCTATACTGGAGAATGGGGGGGAGGATGTCCAATGGAAGACCCTATACTGGAGAATGGGGGGGGGGGGGGGGGGGGAGGATGTCCAATGGAAGACCCTATACTGGAGAATGGGGGGAGGATGTCCAATGGAAGACCCTATACTGGAGAATGAGGAATGGGGGGGGGGGGGAGGATGTCCAATGGAAGACCCTATTCTGGGGAGGGGTTGGATTGGGTGTATTAGAAGTCCCTGTGGGGGGGGGGGGGGGTGATCGGATGGTTACATTGTTGTGTTTTTTGGGTGTTGCAGATGGCGGAGGCGGGGTTCATTCACTGTCCCAGCAGTAACAGTCCGGACGTGGCGCAATGCTTCTTCTGTATGAAAGAACTGGAAGGCTGGGAGCCGGACGACGACCCCCTGTGAGTAGAGGGGGGGGGTTGCATACATGAAGGTGGGAGGAGTCCCGGGTCAGTTCCGTGACGTCTGCCTCTACACGGCTTATAGTGATCTTCTCCGCCGCAACTACAGACACGGAACTTCATGTATGAATGTTTACCTTCACCCACCCCGGAGTAATGTCGTGTGTACCGTACTCGCGGGATCCCTGTACAAGCTGGAGATCGCTGTATAGACACCGCTACTACACTGCTGCTACAGGGACCGCAGTATAGACACCGCCACTACAGGGACCGCAGTATAGACACCGCCACTACACCCCTACTACAGGGACCGCAGTCTAGACACCGCTGCTACACCCCTACTACAGGGACCGCAGTCTAGACACCACTACTACACCCCTACTGCAGGGGCCGCAGTATAGACACCACTACTACACCCCTACTACAGGGACCGCAGTCTAGACACCGCCGCTACACCCCTACTACAGGGACCGCAGTCTAGACACCGCTACTACACCCCTACTGCAGGGGCCGCAGTATAGACACCGCTACTACACCCCTACTGCAGGGGCCGCAGTATAGACACCGCTACTACACCCCCTACTGCAGGGGCCGCAGTATAGACACCGCTACTACACCCCTACTGCAGGGGCCGCAGTATAGACACTGCTACTACACCCCTACTGCAGGGGCCGCAGTCTAGACACCGCCGCTACACCCCTACTGCAGGGGCCGCAGTCTAGACACCGCCGCTACACCCCTACTGCAGGGGCCGCAGTCTAGACACCGCCGCTACACCCCTACTGCAGGGGCCGCAGTCTAGACACCGCCGCTACACCTGTGCTTTCTTGTTGCTAGGCAGATTTAAAACTCTGCAAAAACCGCACTACACACTTTTCTGCAGCGTTCCCATTGAAGTCTAGAGAACTAAAAAAAGTAACTTTTTTTGTGTTCAAGAAAAGTCCCCGCCCCTTCCAAAAAAAAAATCGCACTGGGGTGAAAACGCAAAGATGCGAACCTGTCCCATAGGAAATCATGTTACATGGACTGTACTGCGTTTCTGCCAAAACACAACGGTGAACGCTGAGGTGTGAACCTGGGGTTCCCGTATATTGATTGGTTTGGGCAAGTTATGGCGTCTACAAACTATGGCATAGATCAAGGGTGTCACACTGGCGGCCCTCCACCTGCTGCCAAACTACAAGTCCCATGAGGCATTGCAAGATTGACAGTTACAAGCATGACTCCCAAAGGCAGAGGCATGATGGGACTTGTAGTTTCACAACAGCTGGAGGGCCGCCAGTTTGACACCCCTGGTACAGATACTGGAATTTTTTATTTATACTTCTAATGGCGGCGATCAGCGACTTATAGCGGGACTGCGATAATGCGGCGGACAATTGGGACACTCACTGACACTTTTGACCCTTTGTGGGAACCAGTGACACGAATACAGTGATCAGTGCTAATCGTATACACTGCCCCTGTACTAATGACCCCGGGTGGGAAGGGGTTAAACAGCGAGGGCAATCAAAGGGTTAACGGGAGTGTTGTAGTGTACGCTGCATGCTGCTTTTACGAAGGGAAGTCATGGATCCTGTTCTCTGCTTTGCAGGGACGCATGATCCATCGCTTCCCCTCATCAGAAAGGAGCTCTGCCTTGTTTTCTGTGTCTCCGCCTGACAATCGGCGGGTGGCGGCGGACATCCATTGCCCGACACCTGCAGATGGGTTTCTGCTGAGTAAACACGGCCTCGAAGCGCGTGCGCACCCTCTAGTCGGAAGTGAAGAATGACGTTGATTTACGGGGTTTTGCACAGGAAGGCCGCCCTGTGGCAGTACAGCTGCTATAGGACGGTCCTTATCCCCTCGCCATCCTAAGGAATCCCCTCCCCTTTCCTGACCAGGCCCTTTTTTTTTTTTTTTTTTTTTTTTTTTTTTTTTTTTTTTTTTTTTTTTTTTTGTTACTTTAACTGACAATTGCGCGGGTCATGCAACACTGCACCCAAATTACATTTATGTCCTTGTTTTTCCCACAAATTGAGCTTCTTTCAGTGGCATTGGAGCGCCTGTGCGGTGTTTTATTTTGTGTGCTAGAAGCAATTTTGAGAAAAAAAACTATATTTTGGACTTTTTGCTGTTAAAACATGTCCAGTAAAAAAGTTGAAAAAAATCTAATTTCCTCATATAAAGTGTATTCTGCTCCGTGTCTTCACTAAAAAATAAAATCCCAATATGTGTAAATTAATCAGTTTATATGAAAGTTATAGCGTTTACAAATGGCGGCATATATACTGGGATATTTTTTTTGTTGTTGTTAGTAATTGCGGCGATCAGCGACTTTTAGCAGGACTGCGGCGGGCGTTCTGACACTGGGGGGGGGAATCACTTGGTGTCACTGACATCCCCAGTGACACCAATACAGTGATCAGGGCTAATAAAAAGCACTGACACCGTACTAATGGCACTGGGCAGGAAGGGGTTAACATGAGGGGCGACCAAAGGGTTAACTGTGTACTGGGAGTGTTTTACTAGGGGGCGGGGTGTGCTTCACTGTAAGCACACTGATAAGGATGGCTGTGCTGTGTAGTGTGCCCGAGCCGACAGGGAGGAAGACTGTAAACTAAACAGTCTTTCTCCCCCCCCCCCCGTCGGTAATCATCGGGCGCCGCAGGTCAGTAGGAGGCCCCATGAGATGCCCCTGGTACCTTTTTCATAGGCTTTTTTGAGTTTGGGCAAGGACACAGGGGCCCCATGATCCCCTATTGCCCGGGGGCCCCATGAGTTGTCAGTCCGCCCCTGCATCCAACTGATCCTTTAATGTCTCCCATAGGGAAGAACACAGGAAACATTCTCCGCACTGCTTATTCCTGACCCTGAAGAAGAAGGCTGAGGATTTGTCACTCAGCGAATTCCTCAAGCTGGATAAGGAGAGAGTCAAAATCAAAATGGTAAGTTTCACGCAAGACTTATCACCCCCCCCCCCCCCCCCCCCCGCCTGCCGGGGGCACCGCCACCCCCCTCGCCTGCCGGGGGCACCGCCACCCCCCCTCGCCTGCCCAGGGCGATGTTCATCTCTCAGTGTTGTCTTACTTTGAATGATAATTGCACAGTCGTGCAACACCGTAACCAAACAACATTTTTTTTTTTTTTTTTTTTTTGTTACAGCGCTTTCTTTTGGTGATATTTAATCACGGGGGTTTATTTTTTGCCAAACAAACACCAAAAATGTTAAAGAAATTTTCTTAGTTTCTGTTATAAAATTTTGTAAATGAGTAATTTGTTCTCCTTTTACGGATCAGCACTAATGAGGCTGCACTGATGGGCGGCATTGACAGGCCTCACTCATATATGGCACTGGTATGTGGCATTGATGGGCACTGACAGGTTGCACTGATGATCAGTTGATGTCCCCTCTGAGGAATGCCACTTACCGGATCTCCTTTTCTCATGCGCTGTCAGCGCAAAACATGTAAAAACGGACAAAACGCAAACTTCATTGGTGCGAACCAGGCCTGAAATGCATTGAAGACGCATAAAAAATGCACGTGTTTTTAATGCATTTCGCGTTTTTTAACCTGCCCAGCAACAAGTTGTCCAAAAAAAAATAATGCAAAACACCATAAATACACTTGAAAAATGTGCTTGCAAATACGCAAAAGGGACAAAATGCAAACTGCATTGGTGTGAACCAGGACTGAAATGCATTTAAAATGCACACGTTGAGGTTTACATTTTTAATCTGACCAGCAACAAGTTAGCCAAAAAAAATCAAACGCAAAACACATAAAAATAACTTCAAAAATGTGTGTGCAAAAACGCAAAACTGACAAAACGCAAACTGCATTGGTGAGAACCTGAAATGAATTTAAAAAAAGCGTCAAACACACACGTTGCGTTTTTGATGCATGTACATTTTTTTTTTATCTGCCTAGCAACAAGTTGGCAAAAAAAAATAAAATCAAAGGCATCAAAAATGTGCATGAAAAACGCAAACCGCATTGGTGTAAACCAGGCCTCAAATGTATTGAAAACACATCAAAAACGCACACGTTACTTTTTTTGATTAATTGTTTTTATTCTGTCCAGCAACAAGTTGGCAAAAAAAATCAAAATGCATCAAATGTGTGCAAAACTGAAAAAATGAAAACTGCATTGGTGGGAACCAGGTCTGAAATGCATTGAAAACCCATCAAAAACGCACACTTATTGTGTTTTTTTTTTTTTTTTTTTTTTTTTTTTTGAGTCACATGAACGATGAAAAGCTCATCCTAAATGTGGGTTGTTTTTTTTTTCCTTATTTCCTAGCAAAAGGCGATGACGAAGCACATCGAGAAATTCCAGACGACGGCACAGGCTGTGAGAAGCTCCTTGGAGAAGCTGGACAAAGAGGACCTGGAGAGGGATGACTAGGAGCTGCCATTGCCGATGGGAGGGGCCCGCCATTGCCGATGGGAGGGGCCCCATTGCCGATCTGCAGTTTGTTACAATGTACATAGTGTTTATATTCTGTCCTGTACCTCTCTTGCAATCTCTCGGTTTTAAAATATTCAATTAATAAAACGTTTCTTTTCATTTGTAAACATGTCGCCATTTAATAAAAACGCACAACCTCCCTGATCCGTACTTGTCGGCCATCCACCCTCCCATGTATAATTAACAGGTTATAGAGGAACTCCACTTTTGTTGAGATAGAATCTCCTCCCCCCCCCCCCCCCGCAGAAGCAGATTGGATCATGCTTTGCTGGGATTTTTGCCTTCCTCTGGATCAAATGTGGGTGTAGGATTGTAACTTTTTTTGTTTATGGTTGAACTGGATGGGCTTTTGTCTTTTTTTCAGCCAGACTAACTATTTAACTATGGTCCCTTTGCTTCTAATGAGTGGGGACATTTTTGCTTGGCAAAGTGAAGCAGCATCCAGGTTATTACTGTCCTATTGAAACCGCTGTAGAAGGTCTGCCCTTGGGATCTGCACCCTTCAGCACCATCAGGCCTGAACCCGAGGTGTTGTGGCGTCTTACAGCAGAACATGTCATTAAACTTTATGTTCGCACTATAATTTCACTTCGGCTCTTGTTACAATGTCTGGCTGCGCTTGTACAGGTATGTGCACGCTGCATCTTGTATTTCAGTTCTTGGTCTGTTTTGTTTTTGCGTCCAAACATCAGGGAAGCAATGGCAGGTGTCCCTTATTTGCTTGTTTTTTGTTTGAAGTTGTAAACCTTGCCGTTCCTCAACCCACATGGAAGAAATACATATTTCAATAAATATATATTTATATATGTTAAGCACAGGGCCAATCATTGCTGTCCAGACTGAGTCTCCGGGGAGAGCGGATCTAGTGAATGCGGGGTCCGGGGAGAGCGGATCTAGTGAATGCGGGGTCCGGGGAGAGCGGATCTAGTGAATGCGGGGTCCGGGGAGAGCGGATCTAGTGAATGCGGGGTCCGGGGAGAGCGGATCTAGTGAATGCGGGGTCCGGGGAGAGCGGATCTAGTGAATGCGGGGAGAGCGGATCTAGTGAATGCGGGGAGAGCGGATCTAGTGAATGCGGGGAGAGCGGATCTAGTGAATGCGGGGAGAGCGGATCTAGTGAATGCGGGGAGAGCGGATCTAGTGAATGCGGGGAGAGCGGATCTAGTGAATGCGGGGAGAGCGGATCTAGTGAATGCGGGGTCCGGGGAGACTGGATCTAGTGAATGCGGGGTCCGGGGAGACTGGATCTAGTGAATGCGGGGTCCGGGGAGACTGGATCTAGTGAATGCGGGGTCCGGGGAGACTGGATCTAGTGAATGCTAGTGAATGGGGGTCCGGGGAGACTGGATATAGTGAATGCGGGGTCCGAGGAGAGCGGGTATAGTGAATGCGGGGTCTGGGGACAGCGCGTATAGTGAATGTGGGGTCCGGGGACAGCGCGTATAGTGAATGCGGGGTCCGGGGACAGCGCGTATAGTGAATGCGGGGTCCGGGGAGAGCGGGTATAGTGAATGCGGGGTCTGGGGACAGCGCGTATAGTGAATGCGGGGTCCGGGGAGAGCGGGTATAGTGAATGCGGGGTCCGGGGAGAGAGGGTATAGTGAATGCGGGGTCTGGGGAGAGCGGGTATAGTGAATGCGGGGTCCTGAGTTTAGTAACCCACAAAAAAGCCTGGAAGCTGATTGGTTTCAATGCAGAGCTGCACCAGATTTTGCACTCTCCAGTTTTAGCAAATCAACCCCAAAGGGACAAGAAATGTGTTGAAGGGAAAAAAAAACTAAAAGAAAACAAATGCAGCCACCACATCTAAGTAAGTTGCAATATATAATTTTTTCTTTTTGGGTTTAGTGGTTAGTAAAGAAATTCCTTCAAATTGAATACAGAATACACAAAATCAGTGGAATTTTCAGCATTTTCATCCTTTTACAGACAGCGTGTGTGCGCTTATACCCGGATAATGACCGTGGCTCAGATCCAGGAGGAATGGGAAGAGAATGGGTCATGTAGGGACATCGCTCCTCTTTTCTGGGCCTGTCCCAATCTGCTCCGACTATGTTCCTATGCGGCTTCATTGCTGTACTTCCCAAGCACGGATTTCAGCTTCTCTAATGCCCGCTGGGTGTCCTGCGCCGAGACGTCGCGGTGCCAGACAAGGCGCACTTGGCGAGGCGAAATGCTTAGAGCCTTCACCACCACCCCCCGTCCATTTTCCTGCTCTTCAGGGGTCACTGCCCCCAGCTGCTCACATAGCTCCTCTGCCATGAGTCTGCCGGGGAGCAAAAGTAACACCATATTACTCTCCACGCCGGCGGGTCCGTGAGACAGAGCGAAGAACCCAGTTCCTGCACAGCTGAGGAGGCAAAAAGAGACACAAACCTGTCACATGCTGGAAAAAGTACATGGATGATGAACAAAAACATGTTTGATACATATATTGGTAGAGTCGCACTCTGCATCTTGGCAGGGGGGATTTAAATGGCAGTTGGAAGAGCATCTGGATCTACAAAGCGCCCAGAAGCTTTCTGTGAGCTCATATCTGCTCTCCCCTGGGAAGCATGAATCCAGACTTCAATGGTCTGCTATGTCTTCAAGTGTTCACCAAGCTTCATTGTGTCCTGAGATGTGATTGGCTTGTAAGCGGGTGCCTACAAGATTGGTTACTGCTGGCTAGGAATTCGGGGCTGCCCAGCTAGGGAAGTGTTAACTACGGTTCTGCAGTTTCCCGGGGTTTTTTCTGAGCTCTGCCCTCCACCCTTTGATGAGTATGTAAAGGAGAAGGTGAGAGCCAGGGAACTGCATGGGAGAAGAACGAAGGGTCCAAACAGTAACCACAAGTAATCTCTACCATTTTAAGGGAACCTACCTGCTAAGAACTTTGCCATGTATGGATTTCTACCTGCAAAAGGTATGCCTGGGCAGCCTAGCAATAGATAGTTAGGGACTTGACTGTTCATGGAATGTACTCTTGTGGAGTCTTCAAGTGAAGTGTCTTTTAACCATTTCAAAGCCTGGTCTGAAGTTTCTCTAAAGGGGTGCCCGGTGGTAATGTCGTATGGAAGAGAACAGGGCCTGCTATGCACACATACGGGGTGAAGTGGAGAACATGCCGTTGTTAAGGGAAACAAGCACAAGGCAATGACAATACAGGCAGACATTGGGCAGGAGTGACGGGTCTCATGAATAATGAGGAAAGTGGTTTGCTGCCTCCCTCCCAAGCGGTCGATGACCCAGCAACCGTGAATGGATCCATGTTGCAGAGATACGATCTACAAGGCGGACTGAGTGTATCACTATAAGTGCTCCAGCTCTAATGGACTATTAAAAAGCTTCTAGTGAAGCCCCCTTGTCTGTACTTGCCTGGAATTCCCTCTATGTGCTTTAATCGGAACTGTGGCCTGTGGTCCAGTGGCAATTTTTTTCCCTCCTCTGGATCCTGCCACACCGTAGACCAGGATTTCTCATCCATGTTTCCATGGAAACCTAGCATTCCTCCAGAAGGTTCCCCAAGAGGGTTCCTTGAGCAAGGAACAATTTACCTCTCAGATAAGTTCCAACTGACACCATTGATGTTCTTAGCTATCTGTAAGGGGGTAATTCTTCCCAATGACCTCAAGTGTAAGGAGCATTCTCACTGATCATCAATGTAAGGAGCATTCTTCCCACTGATCACCAATGTAAGGGACATTCTTCCCACTGACCACCAATGTAAGGGACATTCTTCCCACTGACCACCAATGTAAGGAACATTCTTCCCACTGACCCCCAATGTAAGGGACATTCTTCCCACTGACCTCCAATGTAAGGGACATTCTTCCCACTGACCTCCAATGTAAGGGACATTCTTCCCACTGACCTCCAATGTAAAGGACATTCTTCCCACTGACCACCAATGTAAGGGACATTCTTCCCACTGACCCCCAATGTAAGGGACATTCTTCCCACTGACCCCCAATGTAAGGGACATTCTTCCCACTGATCACCAATGTAAGGGACATTCTTCCCACTGACCACCAATGTAAGGGACATTCTTCCCACTGATCACCAATGTAAGGGACATTCTTCCCACTGACCAGCAATTTAGGGGACATTCTTCCCACTGACCAGCAATTTAGGGGACATTCTTCCCACTGACCCCCAATGTAAGGGACATTCTTCCCACTGACCCCCAATGTAAGGGACATTCTTCCCACTGACCCCCAATGTAAGGGACATTCTTCCCACTGACCTCCAATGTAAGGGACATTCTTCCCACTGACCACCAATGTAAGGGACATTCTTCCCACTGACCACCAATGTAAGGGACATTCTTCCCACTGACCCCCAATGTAAGGGACATTCTTCCCACTGACCACCAATGTAAGGAGCATTCTCCCCACTGACCACCAATGTAACGGACATTCTTCCCACTGACCATCACACTACTGTATCATGAGTTGTAGACAATTTTTAGCAGGGGCTCATCAAGACCAGAAAGTTATTTCAAGGGCTCAAAAGGTTGAGAAAGGTTGCCTTAGATCAGAGGTCTCTAAACTTTCTAAACAAAGGGCCAGTTTACCGTCTTTTGGACTTTAGGGGGGCTAGACTGTAGCTTTTGGGAGTAGAAAAGGTCCTGACATCAGTGGGAGGAATTGTGCTCCACCGTTGGTGTAATTTGGAGGACTTGTTCCCCATCATTGGCATCATTAGGAGGACTTATGCCTCATCATTGGTGTCATTGGGAGGAACTGTGCCCCATCATTGGTGTCATTGGGAGGAACTGTGCCCCATCATTGTTGGTGTCATTGGGACAAATTGCACCTCCTCTTTGGTGTCAACGGGGGGAATTATGTCCCATCATTGGTGTCAGTGGATGAAATAGTGCCCCAAGGGTCAGATAAAAACAAGAAAAAAAGGGCTGCATCTGACCCCTCAGCAGGGGTGGACTGAAAACTCATGGGGCCCCCGGGCAATAGGGGATCATGGGGGCCCCTGTGTCCTTACCCACACTCAAGCCACACCCAAAAAAGCCTATGAAAAAAGCCTATGAAAGGTGCCAGAGGCATCTCATGGGCCCCCAGGCAATAGGGGATCATGGGGGCCCCTGTGTCCTCACCCACACTCAAACCACACCCAAAAAAAGCCTATGAAAGGTGCCAGGGGCATCTCATAGGGCCCCCAGGCAATAGGGGATCATGGGGCCCCTGTGTCCCCACCCACACTCAAACCACACCCAAAAAAAAAGCCTATGAATGGTTCTAGGGGCATCTCATGGGGCCCCCTACTGACCCTGGGCCCTTGGCAGTGCCTGAGTACCCAAATGTTCAGTCCGCCCCTGCCCCCCAGGCTACAGTTTGGAGACCACTGCCCTAGACTGACAAACCTGTACCCCATCCTTCATCACCCCATAAAATATTCAGGAATCCTTGTTTCTTCACATTTCAGCTTAACAGACATCCTGAGGTGTCCAGTATTCCCTCCTGGAATTTAAATGGCGGATTGGAAAATCTTCAACACCATTCACTCCTTTGTAACCCTTGGGGGAATTAAGCCTGTTCAATATTTTAAAGACCACCATGACTCCATCCCATGAAATATTCTGCTGGATTCAACCGAGACTCCTCCTTACTCATACCTCGTCTTTCTTCATTTGAATCTAGACGCCCATCAAGACCTTCATACCTCCGGCCTGATGTCTCCTTTATTCCTCTCTACAAAGAAACTCCCTAAAACTAAGATGCTCGATAGAATGGGTGGAGAGATTGGGGAAACCTGACAGATCGTGACCAGAGAAACAACTGGAGAGCCATAGGTAAAAATTCTATAAACATTTCATCTCCAGAAGATGCACATGAAGTGGTCCTCAGATGGTGCTCAACCCCTCATGTGTCCTCTCTGGATTGTTTCTGAAGCTTGGAAGGGACCTTGAGTACATCTGGTGATCCTGCCAGCAGGTAGACTGTCTATGGTCGGTCTAACATCTGATCAATGCCGACCTTCACCACCACGGGAGCAAGAGACCTGACGGAGGCAAGGCTTATCAGACCCATCGAAGGTTTCCCCCCATAAATGAATCTCTCTTCTTTACAGCGGCCAAACGATTGTTCCTGGAAATGCTGACGCTGAATACTGAAGAAGTCAAAAGACGAAGAAACTGAAACATGAGTATCCACCCTCTCTTGTTTCCTCCTGAGATTGACTATAGACTATGGAGTAAGGACTAAGGACCAGGTACTATGAACTATATCCTAAGGACTATGGGCTATGACCTAAAGACTAGGGACTATGGACTATAAACTAAGGACTAGGGATTGAGAACTAGGGCTATGAACTATGACCTAAGGCCTATGGACTAAGGACTATGACCTAAGGCCTAGGGACTATGGTCTATAAACTAAGGACTAGGGACTATAAACTAGGGACTAAGAACTAGGGGCTATGACCTAAGGACTATGGGCTATGACCTAAGGACTATAAACTAAGAACTAGGGACTATAAACTAAGGACTAGGGGCTTTGACCTAGGGACTATAAACTAAGAACTAGGGACTATAAACTAAGGACTAGGGGCTTTGACCTAGGGACTAAGAACTATAACCTATGGACTAAAGACTATGGACTATGAACCAAGGACTAGGGGCTATGCACTAGCGATTAAGGACTAAAGACTAAGAACTAGGGACTATGGACTATGACCTAAGGATTAGGGACTAAGAACTAGGGGCTATAAATTAAATAATAAGGACTATGGATTAGCGATTAAGAACTAGGGACTAAAGACTAAGAACTAGGGGCTAAGAACTATGGGCTATGACCTAAGAACTAGGGGCTAAGAACTATGGGCTATGACCTAAGAACTATGGGCTATGACCTAAAGACTAGGGACTATGATCTTTGGGCTATGACCTAAGGACTAGGGACTATGAACTATGGGCTATGACCTAAGGACTAGGGACTATGAACTATGGGCTATGACCTAAGGACTAGGGACTATGAACTATGGGCTATGACCTAAGGACTAGGGACTATGAACTATGGGCTATGACCTAAGGACTAGGTTCTATGAACTACTGAATTTCACAACTATGAAATGTGTTGTGTGCACATCACCCGGCGTCTGCACTCTTACCTTTGGCAAATGTTTTGGCATTTTGGTGATCCAATGTCAGGTTTTCCCGCGCATGTTTCAATGCGACCAATCCAGGGGCTGCCATTACACCAGCCTGGCGCATCCCTCCTCCAAGCATCTTCCTGATTCGCCGTGCGTCTGCCACGAATTCTGCCGTCCCGCCCAGCAGTGAGCCCACTGGAGCCCCGAGTCCCTTAAAACATTGATGAGGAAAAAAAAGTAATTATAATGCGTCAAAAGCGCACCCGGAATGCATCTGGACTGCGTTTTTGCACTCACGTTTTTGATGCGTGTGTAAAAAAAAAAATTCTTGTTGCTAGACAGATTTAAAACACAAAACTCATCAAAAACGCACTGGAACGCACATGTCCTTATTGACCCTTGCACTATGTACATTGCACATATTTCTGACCCCTGCACCATGTAGATTGTCCACCTCGGACCCTTGCACTATGTACATTACATACTTTTGACCCTTGCACCATGTACAGTGCCTACTTGACACCCTGCACTATGTACATTACATACGTCTGACCCCTGCACCATGTACATTACATACTTCTGACCCTTGCACCATGTAGATTGCCTGCCTCGGACCTCTGCACTATGTATATTACATACTTCTGACCCTTGCACCATGTACAGTGCCTACTTGAGACCCTGCACTATGTACATTACATAAGTCTGACCCCTGCACCATGTACATTACATACTTCTGACTCTTGCACCATGTACATTGCCCACCTCGGACACCTGCACTATGTATATTATATACTTCTGACCCTAGCATCATGTAGATTGCCCACCTCGGACCCCTGCACCACGTACATTACATACTTATGACCCTTGCACCATGTACATTACGTAGTTCTGACCCTTGCAACATGTAGATTGCTCACCTCGGACCCCTGCACTCTGTATATTACATACATCTGACCCCTGCACTATGTACATTACATACGTCTGACCCTTGCACTATATAGATTGCCCACCTCGGACCCCTGCACTATGTATATTACATAAGTCTGACCCCTGCACTATGTACATTACATACGTCGACCCTTGCACTAAGTAGATTGCCCACCTCGGACCCCTGCACTATGTATATTACATAAGTCTGACCCCTGCACTATGTACATTACATACTTCTGACCCCTGCACCATGTACGTTGCCAACCTCGAACCCCTGCACTATGTACATTACATACTTCTGACCCCTGCACCATGTACATTACATACTTCTGACCCCTGCACCATGTACATTACATACTTCTGACCCCTGCACCATGTACGTTGCCAACCTCGAACCCCTGCACTATGTATATTACATACGTCTGACCCCTGCACCATGTACATTACATACGTCTGACCCCTGCACCATGTACATTACATACATCTGACCCCTGCACTCTGTATATTACATACATCTGACCCCTGCACCATGTACATTACATACGTCTGACCCCTGCACCATGTACATTACATACTTCTGACCCCTGCACTATGTATGAAGCCATAAGTTATAAGCCCCTTCCACGGACAGCACAACTTTGCCACAATATGCGTTTTGCTATTAGCCCCGCCCTCTGCCCCACCCCTATTATCAAAGGTTCCCAGGCATGCCAGTAAGGGGCGGGGCAGTCCATTGCATTCAGCTGACTCTACTGACCGGTTACTTCCTGTAGCATCACTCTGTAGACCGCCATACCTTGGACAGACAGAGGGACACGGAGTCGCAGTATTTCACAATCTCTGCAGGCTCCACCCCCAGCGACACGGCGGCATTTATCAGCCGGGCCCCATCCAGATGGATCTTCAGCCCATAGCGATCAGCGATGTCCCGCACCTACAGGACAGGAAATGACATCAGCGACTTGTAATATTCAAATGTTTGGGGGGTTTTGTAAGAGTTGTCACCGGAACAGGAAGAGAGGGAGAATCCTCCAACGGGGGCGGGGACAAGGAACTTTGGAGAGATTTCCTCTCATTTCCTGTTGTCTTTAGGGGACAGAAAGTGAACAGAAATCTCCCCAATGCCCTATGGAGATTTAAACCCTCATGTAATCGATCCAAATGTTTTCTAAAGTTTGGCTCCAAAAAATGAAAGGAAGACTCTGACAACCCATCAGATTTCAATGGGGAGGAATCTCCTGCTGGATCTCTATACTGACATGGATGGGGGATGGGTGAGGAAGGTAAGGACGCCCCATCGTTGATGGAAATGAAAATGATCGACCTACAGAGGACTGAATTCAAAGACACCCCAAAAATCAAAGTGAAGAAATGATGCAGCAGGCAAGTCCATTGTGCTGAAATGTCATTGCAGCAACTCAGAATGGTCCTCAGTAGTTTGTGTGGCCCCCACGTGCTTGTATGCATGCCTGACAACGTCGGGGGAGGGTCCTAATGAGACAAAGGATGGTGTCCTGGTGGATTTCCTCCCAGATCTGGGCCAGGGCATCACTGAGCTCCTGGACAGTCTGAGCTGCAACCTGGTGGCGTCGGATGGACCGAAACATGACATCCCAGAGGAGTTCTATTGGATTTAGGTCAGGTGAGCGTGGGGGCCATTCAATGGTATCAATTCCTTCATCCTCCAGGAACTGCCTGCATACTCTCACCACATGAGGCCGGACATTGTTGTGCACCAGGAGGAACCCAGGACCCACTGCACCAGGAGGAACCCAGGACCCACTGCACCAGGAGGAACCCAGGACCCACTGCACCAGGAGGAAACCAGGACCCACTGCACCAGCGTAGTGTCAGACAATGGGTCCAAGGATTTCATCCCGATCCCTAATGGCAGTCAGGGTGCCATTGTCTAGCCTGTAGAGGTCTGTTGGTCCCTCCATGGATATGCCTCCCCAGACCATCACTGACCCACCACCACGTCTGTCACATGTGCTCAGGGGGAACCTGCTCTCATCTGTGAAAAGCACAGGACGCCAGTGGTGGACCTGCCAATTCTGGTGTTCAATGGCAAATGCCAATCCAGCTCTATGGTGCCGGGCAGTGAGCACAGGGCCCACTAGAGGATGTCGGGCCCTCAGGCCACCCTCATGAAGTCTGTTTATGATTATTTGGTCAGAGGCATTCACACCCATGTCCTGCTGGAGGTCATTTTGTAGGGTTCTGGCAGGGCTCATCCTGGTCCTCCTTGCACAAAGGAGCAGATACCGGTCCTGCTGATGGGTTAAGGACCTTCTACGGCCCTGTCCAGCTCTCCTAGAGGAACTGTCTGTCTCCTGGAATCTCCTCCATGCTTGAGACTGTGCTGGGAGACACAGCAAACCTTCTGGCAATGACAGGTAATGATGTGCCATCCTGGAGGAGTTGGACTGCCTGTGCAACCTCTGTAGGGTCCAGGTATGGCCTCATGCTACCAGTAGTGACACTGACCCTAGCCAAATGCAAAACTAGCGAAAAACAGTCAGAAAAGATGAGTAGGGAAAAAAATGTCAGTGGCCTCCATCTGTAACACCATTCCTGTTTTTGGGGGTTGTCTCATTGTTGCCCATCTAGTGCACCTGTTTCATGAACACCAAAGCAGCTGAAACTGATTACCATCCCCCTCTGCGACTTCCCTGACCGGATCCATATCCCATCCATGGACCATGGACTTGATCCCAGACTCGGATTACAAAGTCCTCCTTTCATGTTTTTGCGCCGTGTGTACAATGGAATGGAAGACGTTGCGCACCTCTTTCATGTAGGAGATCGGAAGGACGCGCCCCCCCATGCGGTTGTGGCTGTTCTCCAGGCAGATGAGTTGCGTCTGTGCGAAATGGACATCCGGGTACCAGTGCTGGATTTTACTTTCCAGGTCTTCCAGGTCCAGACGACCATCTTTTAGTGTCCTCACTGGGCGAGGAAACACTCCCGCCACCTGCGGAAAGAGGGGGAGGGTACAGCAAATAAATCGGATCCGCCCCTCAACTGCCACTTCATTGCTCTGCACCTCTGTACAATTCATCTTAAAGCCGTATTATATCCAATACCAAGAATGCCATCTTATTAGATGTGGCGGCTGCATTCGTTTTTTCCCGAATGCAGCTGCCGCACCTGGTGATCTGGCCAGTAACACCCCTCCTGTATTAGAGCGCCCCCACTCTGGAGGAAGGAGCACAGCAGCATTGTCAGTGTGGGGGAAGGGGAGTGTTTAATGTCAGATCTGACTACAAAGGAAAGCCAGACTCCATGGAATATTTCATCCGCAGTCATAGCAAACAGGTTTGTTCCTTTTGGGTTACAAATTTTCTATAAATAAAAAGCTGAGCATTGTAAGCACCCCTGTCAGTGCGCAATGCTTTATCTCAACCTTCTAACTCAGGGGTGCTCAGCCTGTGGCCCTTAGAGTGTTCTGATGTGGCCCTCGACCTCTAACCAGGGAAGCGCACCTCATATATTCTGCAGGTTTGGTGGACTTTCTGGAAGAGCTCCACACTTGCAGGTCTATGGCACTAATAATGCGCAGGAAAGTCGCAGGGGCACTGCATTACATCCAGGGTGCGGGGAAACCGTAGCACATCGATGTGAAAGCATAGGGGGCTCGGGCGGGATAGTAAAGGCTTGCCTTTTTTGGGGGGCACAGGCCAGGGTTGTGGGGAAGAGGCCCTTGTCCCCATCAACATGGGGGGGGGAGCTGCCCCAAAAGCACACCCCTCCCCATGTTGAGGGCATGTGGCCTGGTATGGTTCGAGGGGGGGCACTCACTCACTCACGCCTCCCTCCTTTTCTGTCCTGCTGGGCTGCATGCTCGGATATTGTGAATCCGGGCTGAATGTTACAGCAGGGTTCCCCGCTGACAGCTGAATGTAAAAAGAATTGCTGGCAATTAAAAAAAGGGTGTGGGGTCCCCTTTAGGTCTGGTGTGGATTTTGGGGGGACCCCACGCCATTTAAAAAAAAAATCTGGCCCTTTTTTTTAATTGCCGGCAATTCTTTTAACATTCAGCTGTCAGCGAGGAACCCTGCTGTCAGCTGTAACATTCATCCCGGATTCACGCTGCATTGTAAGTCACACCACACCGCATTCCTGCGCAAATTACACGCAAATACCTGTGTGGTGAGATTTGAGCCACAGACTTTGTACGGCTGTCACGCCGCACAGGCCGCGAGGAAGGCCGGCGGACATCTTTACTGTATATTTTGTCAGATGTGAGTGCATTCTCTTACTATACCATATTCATAAAAATAAAATACTGTGTTATCAAGAATTTCTTCTTTGGCTCGTTATTTAATGAGCCCCCCAAGGTGGAGTCCTGCAATATACACACTGTGTTCCCATCCAATTGGTCTACAATATCAGACGTGATGTCCCTGGAGCCCATGTGTGAGGTCTGCTGATCACCTGATATGCTGACGTGTGCCAGATGATTCTCTACCAGGGCGGACTGACCATTTGAGCACTCGAGCACTGCTCAAGGGCCCGGGCTCAGTAGGGGGCCCCATGAGATGACCCTGGTACCTTTCATTTGCTTTTTCATAGGCTTTTTTTGGGTTTGGGTGAGGACACAGGGGCCCCATGATCCCCTATTGCCCGGGGCCCCATGAGTTGTCAGTCCGCCCCTGTTCTCAACCCCTTCACACCAACGTCACACAAATATGCATCCTCACAGAACTGGGCTTTTTTCCGGGGTGCCGCATATTTGCGTACCTGTCTTTGTGCATGGCGTGCTCCCAGCCCAAAGAACGCAGTGTCACTGAGAGCCCCAGATCCAGTTCTAACGATCGGGACCCGGAACTCCCATGATCACTGTGATAGCCTCTGATTGGCTATCACAGTGATCAGTCACTGTACAGCCCGGCTCCCCTTGTTTTTTTCTCTCTCTATGAATGGAGAAGAGAGATACATGGTATCATTATATACATCCTATTATACATTGTATCATTATATACATTCTATTATACATTGTACCATCATATACATTGCATCTCTCTAACTCCTTGCATAGAGAGAAAAAAATAAGTTTGTGAAAAAAAAGATACATAAATAAATATTAAAAAATAAAAGAAAAAAATTAAGAAAAAATACCTAGATCAAGGTTTGATCTAGTTCAGTGCCAGGGTTAGGGTCAAGGTCAAGGTCAAGGTCAAAGGTCAGGATTAATTGGTTTCAGTGTCAGTTACTGTCAGTGTCAGTGTGTTTTAGGTACATTGTATCTCTCTAACTCCTGGCATAGAGAGAGAAAAAAAGTCTGTAAAAAAAAAGATAAATAAATATTAAAAAATTAAAGAAAAAATAAAGAAAAAATACCTAGATAAAGGTTTTATCTAGTTCAGTGCTAGGGTTAGTGTTTGGGTCAAAAAACCCCCAAAAAACATAAATAATAATATACTATAAAATAATATAAAATAAATAAAAAAAAAGGTTTAAAATTTATAATTTTGGTTATAAACTAATTTGTTTTTTTTTTTTTTTTTACTAAAAAGATATCGGAATAAATTTTGGCCAAGATTTATGATGAAATATTATTTATTTGCAAAATTGTATAAGAAAAACACTTTTTTAAATTTTTTTTGACATTTTCATTTACATAGCAAAAAAAAATAAAAATCCCAGCGGTGAATAAATACCACCAAAATAAAGCTTCATCTGTCTCAAAAAAAGGCTAAAAAATTCATATGGGTACAGTGTTGCATGACCGCGCAATTGTCATTCAAAGTGTGATAGCGCTGAAAGCTGAAAATTGGCCTGGGGGGGAGGGGGGGAAGTGTCCGGACTGGAAGGGGGGAAAGTGTCTGGACTGGAAGGGGGTGAAAGTGTCCGGACTGGAAGGGGGTGAAAATGTCCGGACTGGAAGGGGGTGAAAATGTCTGGACTGGAAGGGGGTGAAAGTGTCCGGACTGGAAGGGGGTGAAAATGTCTGGACTGGAAGGGGGTGAAAGTGTCCGGACTGGAAGGGGGTGAAAATGTCCGGACTGGAAGGGGGTGAAAGTGTCCGGACTCGAAGGGGGTGAAAGTGTCCGGACTGGAAGGGGGTGAAAGTGTCCGGACTGGAAGGGGGGGGAAAGTGTTCGGACTGGAAGGGGGGGGAAAGTGTCCGGACTGGAAGGGGGTGAAAGTGTCCGGACTGGAAGGGGGGGAAAGTGTCCGGACTGGAAGAGGGGGAAAGTGTCCGGACTGGAAGGGGGTGAAAGTGTCCGGACTGGAAGGGGGGGAAAGTGTCCGGACTGGAAGGGGGGGAAAGTGTTCAGACTGGAAGGGGGGGGAAAGTGTCCGGACTGGAAGGGGGTGAAAGTGTCCGGACTGGAAGGGGGGGAAAGTGTCCAGACTGGAAGGGGGGGGAAAGTGTCCGGACTGGAAGGGGGTGAAAGTGTCCGGACTGGAAGGGGGTGAAAGTATCCGGACTGGAAGGGGGTGAAAGTGTCCGGACCGGAAGGGGGTGAAAGTGTCCGGACCGGAAGGGGGGGAAAGTGTCCGGACTGGAAGTGGTTAATGCAAACGGCTTGTTGCCTAGCAATCGTATTTTTACCTTTTTTATCATAATGCATGGCTGCGACTCTAACCACTTGCCAACCACACTATAGCTGAAAGACGGATATAGCATGGTTGCCCAGCAGTGCCAAGTAGTTCCACCCACCTGTGCCCATCAGTGCCGCCCAGCAGTGCCAGCAGTCAGTGCCGTCAGTCAGCTATATTTTAGCAGCCATGCATTACTTTGGTGCGACTTTCATTCAACCATAGACTGCAATATAAACCCTCAAAAGTTGTATGAAAGTCGCACCTGAAATGTTATACATGCATTTGTTGTGCGACAGCGACAGTTGTCCATTGCCATTCGTTCGTATCCAAGTTGCTCCCATACAAAGTTGCGTCAAAGCTTCACGCCAAAGTCGCACTGCTTTGGATTAGTACAAGTGTGAATGGAGCCCAAACTTTTATTTTTTTCCATTTTGGATGGAGTAAAGTCAGTTTTTTTTTTGTTTTTGCTATATGTGTCCCTATTGGGGAGATTTCCCTTCACTTCCTGTCCCATAGCCATAACAGGAAGTGAGAGGAAATCCCTCCAAAGTGAGGGAATCTCAGAGCTAGTGTTCCCATTGGAAAATTTCCCCTCATTTCCTGTTCTGGTGATTTTCTTTCACTTTCAATGGTAAATAGGACAATTAGAGGGGGGGAATCTCCCTATCGGGGGGCACAGACAGCAATAAAAAAACCTGACAGGGGGTCTCATCCCTCTCCATTCTTTCCAAAACTAAAAACAATTTAGAATTTAGTTGAATTGTAATGCCCATCCCCCACACATATACATGCATAGGACTCTGAATGCACACAGTGCGCGCTGGCCCAGCTGTCACCGAGAGCTCCCGGTCAAAGTTTGCAACTGGATGAGATCCCAATCATGTGATCAGGAAGCCGCCTCCCCCTTCTAGCATTAACCCCTCGAAAGGCCTCCAGCATGACAGGGTTAAACAACCCATCGCAGCCATTTTCAGCACTGCATGGGGAGCTTCTCGTCACGTGATTCCATGCAAGCTCGACAGCCAAAGCAGCGTTTGCAGCATATCCATAAAGCGTGACTGGACGATGACATTAACTTTTTTTTTTTTTTACGTTTAGCCATGGCATTCATTTTTTTTAGAAAAGCGGAGTTCTGCTTTAATGATTTGTACAGAACATGGCCCACCAATCACGGCGCAACGTTTGTAATGTGGTGTCATCACACAACCCACCAGACGGTGGCAGCACACCTCTCACCTGCGCCATGTTCCCCTGCTCATAGATGTACATGTGAGATTCGTCCCCCAGCAGGACCTCGGCCCCTCTCCTCCGACAATGACTCATCACTGAAACAAGACACAAGTCAGAACGGACAGAAAATTTCCGCCTCACCTCTCAGTGTTTAACAAGCTGGATGTTTGGACTGTTTTATTGGGATCCTGTTCACGCTTGTGCAGTTGAATGCAGCGCCCGGCGCCATGGAAAAGGGAAAAAGTAATTCTTTCTTTGCGTCAGAGCTCTGGGGGCAGGATGCGGTACGTCGCCTCTATCAGGACGATTTTTTAGAGGCACAGGATGAGATTCTAAAGGTGAACACTAATATATATATATATATATATATATATACAGTATATATATATGTATATAGTCCTTTATATTCCCAAAGGATAGAAATTGCCAAATGCCTCTGCAAACCCAGGTATTACCTTGTAAAAAGTAGCAGTGACATCATCACTGGGTTTTACATAGCCTGTGCAGAGAGCAGAGCTGTGAGAGGTACCCACCCACTACTAGCAGACAGCCACAGGAGGGGGCGGAGACAAGACCAGTCCCCCTGCACAAGGAGAAAGAGCAGAACGGTGGGAGGGACAAACAGGCCTCACCCACTACTAGCAGACAGCTACAGACTGGGCGGAGACAAGACCAGTCATCCAGCCACAAGCAGAACTGTGGGAGGGGCCCAGCAGCTTTAGTCCACCCCTGAGGCGACCACTCGTATGTGTCCAATCCAACAAACCAAGTGGGCATCTGGGACAAAGTCGGGGTTTTCTGGGTGGGAAATGAGAATTTATGGTAAGTAGCAAATATGCTAATTGGATACACTGCTCTCTCTAAGTTAAATAGTTTGGACAATTGTATCTAATTAGCATATTTGCTACTTACCCTAAATTGGGAAACTGAGACTAGGATGATGCATCATTTCTGAAATAACATCACATCTGAGTCTCTCAATGTCATCACAAGTTCCCCCCATCCGTGGAGAGGGAGAGAGAGCAAATATGCTAATTAGATACAATGCTCCCCCTAAGTTAAGAGAGTATTGTCCAAAATCATCATTATTCTTGGAAGCAGTGCATGGTGGGAGGTGAAAGAGCAGAACAGTGGGAGGGGGCCTAATGCCCAGGGGTGCTGCTCCACTGACTCTTCCTCCCTTGCCCAACAAGGTAGATCCATTTGAATCAAGAGGAATTGGGCCCCTCTTGTTTTCTCAAAGGAATTACTCCCGGGCCCCAACTGTATGTGGGCTCCGTGGTTTCTGTTCCAGCCGGTACTAGCCCCCATCATACCAGCAGGAGTACTATACAGCCAAGAAGCAGGAATGATGGCGGAGTGCCCCTACTGGACACTGATAAGAACAGATTTTTGTTTTTTGTCCACGAACGTGCGAAAAACCGTGCAAGTGCAAAACAGTACACAACAATACACAATTGCATGGCCACTTATTTATTTATATTTCTCCCCACTTTTGTGTGTTTTCTTTCTCACAGGATGGTAGGGTGTGGGTCCTCGGGTCTACCCTGAAGTCTAGGGGGAGGATGTGTGGCCTTTCGGTTCCTTCCTCCCCTGTCCCTGGGGGGTTTTCTCTTCGGGAGAGCCCCCTTACCAAGTACTTGGTGGCTGGCTTAGGTTGGCCACAAGGAACGGGGTCTGCCAAGCCTTTTGGCTAGGTCAGTGGTCGGCAAGCCGCAGTTCGCGAGCCACTCTTTACACGCTTTAATGCGGCTCTTGTGTGCCGGGCGCCCGCTCCCCCCTCCTCTCGGGCGGCAGGGACTCTGCAGCATGATCCAAAAAAAAAACAGCCAGGGCAGCGCGCTCAAATGCAATGATTGGCCAGTCTCGCTGCCACTCACATCCTGATAGCCAGTGATTGGCTGTCAGGATGTGTGTAGGCGGGGCAGCGTGACGAACGTGAGGGGAGCTAGGCTCCTCTCACAGTCTGCCCTGAAGACCGGAACGGCGCGGGAACACGGCGAGAGGAACGCGCGGAGCAAAGGTAAGTGAATTGACACAGGCGGGACTTGGCTTACTACTTGCTACTTACTACTACTATATGGGGGATGAATTACTATATGGGGGATGAATTACTATAGGGGGGATGAATTACTATATGGGGATGAATTACTATATGGGGGATGAATTACTATATGGGGGGATGAATTACTATGGGGGATGAATTACTATATGGGGGATGAATTACTATGGGGGATGAATTACTATATGGGGGATGAATTACTATATGGGGGATGAATTACTATGGGGGATGAATTACTATATGGGGGATGAATTACTATAGGGGGGATGAATTACTATATGGGGATGAATTACTATATGGGGGATGAATTACTATGGGGGATGAATTACTATATGGGGGATGAATTACTATAGGGGGGATGAATTACTATATGGGGGATGAATTACTATAGGGGGGATGAATTACTATATGGGGGATGAATTACTATGGGGGATGAATTACTATAGGGGGGATGAATTACTATATGGGGGATGAATTACTATATGGGGAATGAATTACTATGGGGGATGAATTACTATATGGGGGATGAATTACTATGGGGGATGAATTACTATGGGGGATGAATTACTATATGGGGGATTAATTACTATATGGGGGATGAATAACTATGGGGGATGAATTACTATATGGGGGATGAATTACGATATGGGGGATGAATTACGATATGGGGGATGAATTACTATGGGGGATGAATTACTATGGGGGATGAATTACTATATGGGGGATTAATTACTATATGGGGGATGAATTACTATGGGGGATGAATTACTATATGGGGGATTAATTACTATATGGGGGATGAATAACTATGGGGGATGAATTACTATATGGGGGATGAATTACGATATGGGGGATGAATTACTATAAAAACTTATTGAAACTAAAAACAGTGTACCATCCTATGTATTTTCAGTTTTAAAAATGTGGCTCTCAAAATAAATTTCAATCGTGGTTTTGGCGAGATTTGGCTCAGTTGAAAAAAAAAGGTTGCCCACCACTGGGCTAGGTGGACCACATGGGAAACTTGTCCCTGTCAGGCGCTTCGTGCCCTGGGGGATCAGGGTAGAGATCCAACCCCTTCGGGGGGTGGACAAACCACACCCCTAAGTGCACTTTTTTGTGTTTTGCACTTGCACGTTTTTTGTGAACACTTACGGGTTTTTTCGTTTTTTCGCACTTAAAAAAAAAAAAAAAAAAAAAAAAATCTGGGAAAAAGTAGGGGTTTTTCTAGGTGGGAAATGAAAAATTTGCATATTTCAGCAAATTTTGCATATCCCACACTTCTATGAGGGCTGAGGAAAGGTATGCAAATAAGGGTGACTGTGATCCTTTGTAATTGGATCAGAACACTCTCCCTAATTTGCATATGCTGAAAAAAAATTAATTAATTACGGGTCTTTTGGTGAGGCACCCCCGCAGGCATTCTCCATAGGGAGCAATCGTGGTACCGATCAGCCTTCGTTTTGCAGGACCTGTTTTTCTTTCTGGCACACTAAGAATACGTGTACAACCGGCTAGGTTTGCCAAAACTGCTATAAAAAGCAGGTCACAAAATGGCAGAGTTGGGTGGCACCTGGTGAGGCAGTGCCCTAAGGTGGCACAAGAAAGGTTGGAAAACTCCAATGAGGCAAAAGATGGCGGTATCAGCAAGACCTTGGGGGTGCAGCAGGCACTGCTCTCCTATGCTGATATGGCACAGGCACAGGCAGGGGCAGACTGACAACTCATGGGGCCCCTGTGTCCTTGCCCAAACTCAAAAAAGCCTATGAAAAAGGTACCAGGGGCATCTCATGGGGCCCCCTTCGGACCTCAGGCAGTGCCCGAGTTTCCAAATGGTCAGTCTGCCCCTGGGCACAGGGTGTGGTCCCAATAGGAGTTGTGGAGATTGCCTCTCTGGTTCCTCCCGGTGCAGCAGCTGGAGAAGAGGGGGCTATCTCGCCATCCGAGGGTTATGTCCCTGAAACTCAGAGGGAGAGGAGGAGGCTAAAGGTCATCGGGAGAAAGCTGTGGAAGAGATGGACCAAAGTTTGTCCCTTAAGAGGAAGAGTCCTAAGTCCCCTTCCCCCTCTGGAAACATCGAGGAGTGCCCAAGTAGTGCGGAGCCTGGAGGTGCTGAGCTGGGACCCGCTGGTGGAGGAGTGAGACTCATCCATAAAGTCATTCGCCAGTTGTGCAGAACAGGTGGAGAACTTCTAGGAAGATGATGGGGGTTCCACAAGTCTGGCAAAGCAAAGTTAAAAAAGCCAGAACCCTCCATGAGAGGTGTAAAAACAGAGGAGGCTGCAAGAACAAGTAAGAGGACAAGGTCCAGAGGACTCACGGAAAGGTCCCTCTTTCGATCGGGACCTTTCCTGATCATGTGACCGCCATGACGGTGAATGACCTTAAAACCCTTCCCCACCTCCAGGATTCTGAAACCCTTAAAAGGCCGGGAGACGCCGGTGCCAAGGGGTTAAGTAAAGAACGAAATAGGGGGGTGGGGGTGTTATTTAAAAATAAGACTTTTAAAGTTAAAAAAGTTTTTCACGTGGTGGTGGGTCGGTGTGTGTTGGTTTATAGGAGGTGGGGTGGGAGGTGTTTTGGGGTGTATGGGGTGTATGCTAGCACAAATATACAAGAAATGGTGGAGGTTAAAAGATTAAAAAATTAATTTTTTTTCTTTGGGGGGGATTTCAACTGCATTTTGGAGGTAAAAGACAGAACTGAGGGGTGGGTGAGGGGGGGGGGGGGGAACAGGGGCGGACTGACAACTCATGGGGCCCCAGGGCAATAAAGGATCATGGGGCCCCTGTGTCCATGACCACAGTCAAAGCACACCCAAAAAAAAGCCTATAAAAGGTACCAGGAGCATTTCATGGGGCCCCCTACTGACCCTGGGCCCTCGGGCAGTGCCCAAGTGCTCTAATGGTCAGTCCACCCCTGGGGGGGAAGTTGATATATCTGGGAAAGAGTGCTCCCAGCATGGTGTCACTGAGAGCTCCGGGTCCCGTTCTAACGATCAGGACCCGGGACTCCTGATTCCGGGTCACATGA